GCTACCCCGCTCCCTCCCCTCATTCATTCTCTCACTTGGCCTTTCTGAACGGCGGCTGCACTGGGTTTGTGTTTCGGCCACACCGACAGCCGCCCCCCATCAGTGGGGCCGTTCATTTGGGGGGGCTCCCATGCCGCCCCCACTCTGGTTCCTGCTGTCGGTCAAGGCCAAGCTATCCCCCTCATCTCTCGTGAGGTTGGAGAGAGCCATTCTGTGTTTCCGTCTGTGTTCACCCTCCGAGTCTGTGGTCAAGGCACAGTTCATGGCCACACGCTCTTGCCCTCTGTCCCCCGCCCTGCCCACCGGGTCCCGGCCACCAGGCAGCGGGCTCTCCCTTGCTCGGAGCCGCTGGGTCTCTCCTGCATTGTGGCCTTTATTTCAGAGTCCTTTCTGGGTGCTCGCGCTGCAGATTCCAGAAACAGCCACCAGGCACCCCGCGGCTCAGTGTCCACAGTCGGCCTCCCCTGCCTCCCGCCACGTGTCAGAATGGCCCCGACGCCCATGATGTGCATCCATGACCTTGGCTAGCCTGCGTGGCCAGCGGCGCGGTCACAGGCCTCCCCACCCCAGAGGCCGCCTTGGCTGTGTGGGTCGCTGGCAGGTCCTCAGCTGGGGCTCCAGCCTACCTTTGGAGGGGACGTTGGAGACCGGGGGGCCCTGCCCTCAGCCTGCTCCTCTCCTCAGGTGTCCCCAGGCGTCATTGCCAACCCCTTTGCGGCAGGCCTCGGCCGCCGGAACAGCCTGGAGAGCATCTCCTCCATCGACCGGGAGCTGAGCCCCGAGGGCTCCAGCAAGGTCAGAACCACCTGCAGCCGGCGGCCGCGGGGCTGGGGAGCCCAAGGCTGCTGGTCCCTGACTGGTGTGCTCTCTGCCCGCAGAAGGAGCTGCCGGGACAGACCCCGCAGTGGGGACTAGAGGCCGTGGTGAGTGACTGGGCGCCCCTGCCCTACACACCGGGCTTCTCTTCACACTCGGGCCCCGGGGTGCCGGGCTCTGGCTGCCTCCTCCCTGCTGGGGTGCTGCAGGACGCAGGGTGGACACAGTGCAGGGGGCAGGTGGCTGCAGCCCGCTCTCGGCAGCATCTGCCGGCCCCCCGCTTAGGTGCAGACACGCCTCCCCTGTGTGGACTCTGCTCCCCAGGGCCAGAGCTTGGAGAGCCTCAAGCTGGACTACCGCACTCTAGCCGCCGTGCCCAGCGCTGGGGGCACGCACAGGGTCAGTGTCCGAGTCACTGGCCTGCTCTCCATCTGCTCATCTTAGCTCCGTCCTGCCCGTCTGAGCCCCCGCTCATCACTGAGACCCCAGGGCACGGAGCTTGCAGGCGGGGTCTGCAGGGGCCGTGGGCCCCCACGCTGGAGCTCTGCGTCCTGACCTGATACGGGTCCCTCTTCGTCCTCGGGGCTCCTGGGAAGACCCCCTCCCCTTCAGAGTCACCGAGCAGGCTGGGGAGTGGGGAGCACAGGCAGCTCGAGGCCACCGCAACCTTTGGGGGTCCTGATGGGATCGGGCAGGAACAGCCTGGAACAGCTTCGAGAAGCCATGGAGGCTGGGGGGGCTGCGCAGTGGCCCAGTGCTGACAGCTGGGGGGCGGGCACTGGGCAGGACGGAGAGTTGGGCCTCTCCCTCCCCCGAGAGCCATGAACAGCCCTGCCCGAGGCTGTGCCCAGCCGGCCGCAGCTCAGAAGTCCTACAGGAGGGCGAGTGGTCACTGCCTGGGCTCCGCGGGGCGGGGGGCGGTTTGTGCTGGGGGCTTTAGTGTAGACCTTCGCCCCTTAGCCACGAGCAGCTGAGTAGGAAGCCCCCAGGAGGGGTGGGGGCCTAGCTGTGGGGTGGCAGGTGAGAGTTGGGGCCTCCCTGGCTCACACCGCTCCAGAGTACACGGGGAGGGTAGCCAGGGGTGGGGGAGCTGCTCACGGACAGCGAAACAGAGCAGCAGAACGCCTCCTTGTGGGGCCGCAGCCCTGCCTGACCCTCCCCCCGGCACTGCCTGACCCCTGCAGGTACTGTCTGGGGCGACAGGAGGGAAGATGGCTGAGGGCCCCTGCTCCCCCAGCTGCCAGCAGGTGAGTGCCCAGCAGGTGGGGGTGGAGGGCAGCGCCCCCTCTTCCAGGGAGGTGGTGCCACGGGACAGCCGCTCCCCTCCAGCTGCCACTCCTGACTGAGGGCACGGCCCGGAGCGCCTGCCTGGCCAGGGGTGATCGGCGATGCGGTGGGGGGCTCCCTGTGGCCCCTGGGCAGACAGAGCTGGGTGGTCAGGGATGCGTCACCGCCACCTGCCTGCTTGCGTATGAGTCCCTCGGGGCCAGCTTGGTCCTGCTGAGGCTCCCCGGGTCTGCTGCATGGGAGGGCCAGGCCATGGGCACCCCCCCTCGCCGCGCTGCAGCAGGGGGTAAGCACGGGCCAGCTCCCAGCCTTTGCCCCTTCCCAGCAGACGACAGACAGGCGAGTGTTGGCCCCGTGCCCCTGGATACCCACCCCGTCCACCCCCCCTGGCTCCAGGTCTCTTTCCTCCACCATCCCCCCATCCCCTTACCTGAACCCCAATCCCTCTTTCTGGTCTCTGCCCCTGCGTTTTGCTGAGAAAACTGGCTTGGGCCTGGCCGGGGGGCTCCGTGGCCCCCAGGGATAGAGGGGATCCGCGCCTTGTGAGTGCTCAGACCCACAGGACACGGGAGTCAGAGCAGCAGGTGGGGACAGCTGGGGGGGTGGCGGCTGCAGCCAGGAAGGCTGTCCTCCCCCGGCTCACATGCGCCCCCCTCCCTAGCCCCCATCCCCACCCTCCCCCGACGCACTGCCCGCCAACGTGAAGCAGGCCTACAGGACCTTCGCTGCTGTACCTGGCCCACACCCACCGCAGGACACCCCTGCCCAGGTACGCGGTGGGCCGCCCGCCCTTCTCCCGCGCATGCGCGTGGGGCATGCGCCCAGAGGAGCCAGGCCTCAGGACCCGCTTCCCACAGCCCCCCGCACCCGGGCCCACGGCCTCGCCGGAGCAGCTGTCTTTCCGCGAGCGGCAGAAGTACTTTGAACTGGAGGTGCAGGTGCCCCAGGCCGAGGGCCCCCCCAAGCGCGTGTCACTGGTGGGTGCCGACGACCTGCGGAAGATGCAGGAGGAGGAAGGTAGGTGGCCAGAGCGGCAGGTGGGGAGGGCCTGGGCCAGGGTCTCACCTAACCCCCCCACCCCCACCCCCACCCCAGCCCGAAAGCTGCAGCAGAAGAGGACGCAGCTGATGCGGGAGGCGGAGGACAGCGGGCTCACCCTGGACCTGGACGGGGAGGCCCCCGAGGAGGAGGAGGAGGAGCCACCCGAGCCCCCAGCCTGGGCCGGCCCTGCCCCAGGGTGAGCGGCAGCCCCGAACGTCTCCCGGGCGTCCCCGTGCCCGCGGCACCCCACCCACCTGGTCCTCCTGCCCTGTCTCCCGCCCCAGGCTCAGCCCCTCGTCCCCGCAGCCCCTTGGGGGCGGCGCCCCGGTGCGCACAGCCAAAGCCGAACGGCGCCATCAGGAGCGACTCCGCGTTCAGAGCCCGGAGTTGTCCTTGCCTGATCGGGCTCTGTCCCCTGCCGAGCGGCGCGCCCTGGAGGCCGAGAAGCGCGCACTGTGGAGGGCAGCCAGGTGAGGCCCTGGGGGCCCGGGAAGGCCTATCCCACCCCCGCTGCCGCGCCCGCCCGCCCACCCAGCGCCACCTCCCTGTCGCCGGCAGGATGAAGTCCCTGGAGCAGGACGCTCTCCGTGCGCAGATGGTCCTCAGCAAGTCCCAGGAGGGCCGGAGCAGGCGCGGGCCCCTGGAGCGGCTGGCCGAGGCCCCCTCGCCCGCGCCCACCCCGTCGCCCACTCCCGTGGAAGGTCCGTAGCCGGGCAGGGGTGGGGGGCCCGCCCCACGGCCCAGACCTCTCCCAACGCCCCCTTCTTGTCCCCCCAGACCTCGGGCCCCAGACCAGCACCTCCCCCGGACGCCTGGTGAGGAGCCAGCAGCTGTCGCCTGCCCTGAACCCCTCCCCAGACTCCCCCTCCCTCCCCCTCTTCACGCTCTCTGCCTTTCTCCCTCACGCTGTCCTTGCAAGGCCTTGTCTGGGAGGAAGTTTGACTACAGGGTGTTTGCAGCCCTCCCTTCTTCCAGACCGGTCTTTGACATGCAGGTACCGGGCCCGCCCACAGGCCAGCCGCGCTCAGCTTTGCTCCTGTGCCCGCCACCCGGGCCTGTCCCTCTCTGTCTGCCGGTCTCGAGTCCTCTTCCGTGGGCGCGGGGCCTCCCCAGCCAGCTCCCGTCCTTGGCCAGGGCGCCACGGGGACCCCCACCCAGGCTCTTGGGGGCGGCTCCAGGCAGGCCTGGGGTGCAGTCCTGACCTAACTCTTCTCCCCCTCACAGTCCCCAGATTTTGCTGAGGAGCTGAGGTCCCTGGAACCATCTCCCAGCCCTGGTGAGTTGGCAGGCTCAGCCCTCAGGGTGCACCCAGGGTGCCCGTCCCGCCCCCCGAATCGCTCACTGCGTGCCCTGCCTCGCCCACCAGGCCCGCAGGAGGAGGACGGAGAGGTGGCCATGGTGCTCCTGGGCCGGCCCTCGCCCGGCGCTGTGGGCGCTGAGGACGTGGCTCTGTGCAGCAGTCGCCGCCCCGTGCGGCCCGGGCGCCGCGGCCTGGGCCCTGTGCCCTCCTAGAGGCCCCGGGGGCCACCCCCGACCTGGGCGGGGCCCTGCCGGCTGCACCAGCACCCTTGCCCTGAGTCTTTTACCTGGGTGTTAGCATTTTAAAGAGACCCTTCAGGAGTTCCAGCCGCTAACTGCCCCCTCCCCAGCTGGGACCCGCTGGCAAGACTGTAACTAGTGACGTTTGTACAACCAAAGACTCTATTTTGTGGTTTAAGAAGAATAAAATTGACTACGTTTTACCTCCTGTCTGTCCATCTGTCTTACCCACCGCCCCCCTGCAAGGCTGGGCCCCCGCGCCCCGCTCCCCACTTGGTGTGTGCACACAGGACGCAGGCAGTCCCAGGCCCCGAGGCCGGCGGCCCAAGCTTTATTGGGGCTCGGCCCTAGGGGCCCCCGGGGGGCGCAGCGCCCACACAGGGAGCTGCAGCTGCTCGGCCGGTGGCCACTGGGTCTCGGTGACGAAGATGACGCGGAAGTGCCCCAGGCGCGCCGCCTGGAAGCGCGAGGGGCTGTACTCAGGCTCGTGGGCAGGCCGCAGCAGCGACAGGTAGCCCTCCCGCTCCAGGAGCCCCCGGCTCAGCAGCTCCCGCGCCAGCCCTGGCCGCACGGCCTCCAGCTGCCTCCGCACCACGGGGAGCAGGTCCGCCTCGCGCAAGTAGAACACCAGCGGCTTCCCGTACCTGCGGGCAGGCGGTGGGTGAGGCGCCCGGTCGAGGGGCCCCGCCTTCCGCCGGCTCACCTGAGCGCCCCCAGCAGCGCCAGCCAGATCCTGTCCGGCCGCAGGTGCGCAGGGTTCACTGCGTCCACGTAGTTGGTGTCCTGGTAGCGCAGGAAGGTGGCTGCCTGGCCCGAAGGGTCGATGACAAGAGGCCACCTGGGAGCGGCCACCAGGTCACCGCTGCCCACCCAAACCCTCCGCCCGCTGTCCCACTCAAGCCCGACCACTGACCGGCCATCGGCGCAGATGCGGTCGCCCACATCCTTCATTAGGACGTCGTGCAGCTCGGTGACCCGGCATTTCAGCCCGGGCACCACCTCCTCCCCCGTGGAGTCGTAAGTGGGCCGGGGCTCCAACGGGAGGACCCGATCCCTGATCCCCCTCCCTGGGCCCGGCCCCCCAGCGCCGCCCACCCTCCTGGGTCTGCTTCCGCAGCTCTAGCCTGGCCATGGCCAGCGTCTCCTCGGCCTTCCGGGCCTCCAGCCAAAGCCGGTCCACTTGGGTCTCTGCGTCCCCGATGGCCTGCGGGAGACGAGGGGCCCCAGGCTCCACTCAGAGCCAGGCTTTACGCCCCCCACGTGGGGCGGCCCAGACACCTGAGGAGGGGAGAGCGGCCCCCATTCCAGCCCGGGGGGGCTGCTGCTGGAAGGTGGTGCCCACGCTTGGGGGGAGGGGACGCCGGCCCCCAGAAGCCCAGGCCCGAGAGGAGAAAGCCCACCTGCAGGGCGAGCTCAGCCCGGCCTGGGCAGCTCGGCTCACACTCCGCGCTCGGCGATCCTCCGGCGAGCTCACAGTAGGCCCGCTGCAGCTGGGCGCGGGGACGGGCCGGCCTGGCCCGCTGCCCTCCAGACCCGCTCCATCCCTCTGAGGCCAGGGCCAGCCTGCCGTCCCCACCCCCGTCCCTGCGCCAGGGGGCCGCGCACCCGCGTGTGCGCTGCTGCTGTGCCCTTGCCAACTGCGGGACGTTGAGGTTCATGCCGGGGGGGGGGGGGGGGGGGGGGGGGGGGGGGCGGGGGGCCCGGTCATCAGAGGCTCTCCCTGCCTCCCCAGCCCCCCGCCGCACCGCTCGGCCTCCATGATCTGGAGCATGGCCTCCGTGAGGCTCAGGTCCCACGACCTCAGCACACCAGCCACGGTGTCCAGGGAGGCCACCGAGGCACAGACGACACTGGCCGGGAGCTCAGCGTGTGTGCCACGCTCTGCCTCGCTCTCGCATTTTACGGCAAAAGGGCGCCAACTGGCAGAAACATGGCCCCAAAGCCTTATCATGGTGCAGCTGCCCCCAGAATGAGACACCCAAAGGTCCTCTGGCCTCTCCATCCCTTTGCCGGATCCCCTCCCCGCTCCACACCCCCGCTGGCCAGTCCCCCAGGCCCCCTGCGGGCGTTCCACTGCCTGTGGCACAGCCGGCGCCCACCCTGCAGTTCCCTTCCCTAGCCGTCGGGGCCCGCACGACCCCCCTCCAGGAGCGGTAAGGGGCGGCCGCTGCAGGGGAGGGGGTGCTCCTGGCCACGCTCCCACACACACCGGCTCCGGCGTGCTACCGTCATCCGCGTACACCCGGGGGCCGGCTCCGAGCTTCAGCCGCACCTCCACGGCTTCCAGGTGCCCCCCGAAAGCTGCTCGGTACTGCGGCGCCCGGCGAAGGCGCCCTGCGCGAGGGGCTCCTGAGCCGGGCTCCGCGGGGCGGCCGAGGCCCCCAGCCCCGGCCCCGCGCCCACCTTGCTGCTGGGGCTGGCGCCCTGCTCGGCCAGCGGCTGGATGGCCAGGGGCTGCCCGCCGGCCGCCGCCTCCGACGGCGGCGTGTTCCCGCTGCAGCCCTCGCTCCCCCCCGGGGCCACGCGCTGCCGCCGGCGCCGCGCAGCCCCCGCCTCGTCGTGGCCCACGCCCTCGCGGGTCAGCCGCTCGGCCGCCGGCGCGCAGGCCCGCGGCGACCACGTGACCACGCGCGGGACACCGCCCCGCCCCGCCCGCCGCCCCCGCCCGCCGCCGGCGCGCACCTGCCGCAGGACCGCCTGGATCTCGCCCACGTCGCGGTCGAAGGCCGCCTCCCGCTCCCTCCGCCCCAGGGCCACGAAGGCCTGCGGGCCGGCCCGGACCGAGGGAGCCCCCGCCCCAGTTCCGGCGGCCCTGGCTGCCCCCACTGCCGCGCAGGCCGGCCTCACCGCCCTCTGCCGCTGGTGGGCCTGGTGCGCCCGCTGGCGGCGGGCCAGCTCCTTTCTGGCCAGGAGCTGCCGGAGGGCGCGCTGGAGGACGGTGGCGGCTCGGTCCTCCGCAGCCGGTCCTGGGGGGCCGAGGGGCTCAGGGGTCCCTCCAAGCTGCCGTCCAGAGCCGCTGGGGCCTCCCACACCCGGTGCGCCGGATCTCCAGGTCCACATGCCTTCCCACCCAACCAAGGGCCAGAAATGTTCTAGAATCCACAAAGGCAGGGGCGCCTGGGTGGCGCAGTGGGTTAAGCGGCTGCCTTCGGCTCAGGTCGTGATCCCAGGGTCCTGGGATCGAGGCCCGCATCGGGCTCCCTGCTCGGTGGGACGCCTGCTTCTCCCTCTCTCTCTCTCTCTCTCTCTCTCTCTCAAATAAATAAAATCTTAAAAAACAACAACAACAAAAATCTCAGGGTTGTAAGTTTGAGCTCCATGTTGGGTGCAAAGATCGCTTAAAAATAAAATCTTTAAAATCTGCAAACGGGGCCACACTGGATTAATCCACCAGCAGAGAGCAGAGGAGGAGGTATGAGAACTGAGCTGAGAGCAGACGGCGGGCCGGGGGCCTCCTGACCCTCCTTCCCCAGCCGGGACATAGCTGGGGCCCCCGAGAGCCAGCTGCGGAGGACCAGCTGGAGGAGCTAGTAGGGAACCTGAGGGGTGGTGAGGAAGACGGCCCCCAGCACAGAAGTCCCATGCACCCCCCAGGACCCCTCCCGGAGGCCCCCCTAGCATTCAGGCAGCCACGTGTGGAGGCTGGGCGGGCCGGGCCGAAGCGGGGGTCTCCACCCACCAGCCCACTGGGACTCAGAAGAGGGAGCCTCAGGCTGTTACGGCCCCGCACACCAGCCACGGCGGGACGTCTGAGCGGAGGCCGAGCTCCGGACGCCGCCTGCACCCCACCCCGTGGGCTCTGTGCCCGCCTGAGCTCGGTCGGTTGCCTCTCGGGCCTCCGCGTCACTCCCCACAGGGCTTTTCAGCAGCCTGATGCTCGAGCGCTCGCAGGCTCGCCAACTTCGCAGGCTTCGCAGCTTCGCGTGCTTCTGGAGTTCTCCAGGCCTCCCAGCGCTGACCACGCTGGAAGGGACAGGCGGGACAGACTAGCGGCAGCACGGCGACGGCGTGGTGGCCCCACGGAAACAGGCCATGAAGCCCACCCCCCGACAGCTCCGTGAGTCACGGAGGAGCCTCGGAGGGGTTCAGGGAGACAGGGTCAGAGACACGGGAAGAGTCAGGATGGAGAGTGGGTGCAGACGGGGAGACCCAGGGAGGGCGCGCGATCGCGGGGAGTGGGGATGGCGATCATGGATGAAGCGAGCGGAAACTCTGGGAAGCAGGGACCAGCAATGCGGACAATATTTAGAGATAAAACACAGAAAAATTTCCTGAAGTAAATCTTAAGAGTGACAAAAAATATACCGGTAATCAAAACTACTGGCACTGGGCACATCCTAACCAGGTTGTTGAACCTTAAAAAAACAAAAGCTCCTCAAGCAGCCAGCTAGCTTCACATTTCACAGCCACAGTGCATGTTACAAGTCGGTGATCAGTGTCCACGGAATTCTGAAGGGTTAGCGTTAGCTCAGGAAGATTCGGGACGCACTTCTCCCAGCCTTCCCACCGACTGCGACAGAAAGATGGACAGAATGACTCTATCATAACGTCTGGGTGGAAAAGCCGTAGGGGAGTGCAGGAGGGTGGCCCCAGCCCCGGAAGGGGGCTTCACTTGGCAACACCCACGGGAGGGAGGCCAACAGCTGGGGCAAGGCTTGGGCAGACCACAGGGCCAAGGGGACAAAACTCTGTGTGCAACCCAGAGCCCTCAGTAAGGCTTTGGGTTTGGGCTTGCCAGATTGAGCTAATAAAAATACAAAATGCTATTTTGGAGATGTACACACAAGAAAAGGATTCGTCGTTTATCTGAAATTCAAATTTAAATGAGTGCCCTGTATCTTATCTGGCAGCCCTATTGGGTAGAAATCCTGAAGAACTCCATTCTTTGGGAAATGAAAACCCTCATGGGAATGGAAGGCCCAGCAGCAAGTCACTCAATGCTTGATGGGATCAAGGCGCTCTGGAGTTGCCCCTCGCCCTGGTGCTGGCCAGAGACTAAGTCTTCGCTGCAGAAGAACGTCGTCCAGAACTTTGGCATATCTCCAAAAAAAAATTTTTTTTTGAGAGAGAGTGTGTGTCCATGCGTCGGGGGGTGGGCAGAGGGGGACGAAGAGAGAGAATCCCAAGCAGACTCCACACTCAGTGCAGAGCCCAGGGCAGGGCTGGATCTCAGGACCTGATATCACAAGCTGAGCCGAAATCAAGAGTTGGACGCTTAACCAGCTGTGTGACCCAGAAGCCCCCTCCAAAATGTTTAATATGCAACGTATGGCACCAGAAGGTAATCAGGCAGATGAAGAAACACAGTATGCGGGAAAGATGAAGAAAATGGTAAACAGCAGAAGTAAACCCAGACAGAGCTGATGAGCAGCTCTTAGATGCAGACTTCAAGTGACATGTTCAGGGAGTTAAAAGACAGACTAAAAAGTCTGGGCAGAGAACTGGAAGCAATAATAAAGAACCAAATGGAAGTTCAAGAATGTAAAAATACAAAACCTGAAATAAGAGTCCGGTGGGTAGACCTAACGGCATTACGGACACGGCTCCCACAGAACCACTAAGCTGGGGCGCGATGCGAAGGGACGCGGTCGGCGTCGAGGCGCAGAGACGAGAGGAGAGGTCTAATACCCAGGTAACTCGAGTTGCAAACGGAAAGGACGGGGAGGAGGTGGCAACGTTTAAAGAAAAATTTTCAAAACTAACAGACATCAAGTCACAGTGTTGACATGTGTTATAAATTCCAAGCGGGATAAGTATGAAAACAAGCGGGGAAACTCACACACACACCAAAGCACACCACGGTAAAATTGCTAAAAACTAAACACAGCAGGAAAAGTCTTTAAATGAGAGAAAGGAATGGGTGCCTCGGTGGCTCAGTCAGTTGAGCGTCCGAGTCTTGGTTTCTGCTCAGGTCATGATCTCAGGGTCGCGAGATGGAGCTCCGTGTTGGGCCCCACACTGAGCGGGGAGTCTGCTGGCGGTTCTCTCTCCTTCTGCCCCTCCCCGGCTTGTGTGCTCTCTCTCTCTCTCTAAAGTGAATAAATAAATCTTTAAAAAAATAACTTACTGGCAAAGCCACACTGAGTTACAGGTGCCAGCCCTTCTGACTCCTAAGGAATTTGCCTTACACGCTAGCCTTTCCAGTGCTGAGGTTCAAATTTGTGCCTCGGAAATCACTTGTCACGTTTTCTTTTTTAGCATCGATTGGGAACAGTTGAAAACTTAAATCCTCAACTGCCAGGGTCTTCTATACTACTAGTATGTGTTTAGCAGAAAACTAACTCCGTAATGAATGGAATTCAATTCCACACATGGTTTGTTCAAGCACACTTAATAAGTAGCCTATTTTTTAAATGTAAATATTTGGATGAAGTTTTTAAAGTTTGTTTTGATATATTCATTTGCTACACCAACCATGGTTTCAGAATTCACCTTTTGAGCTAATTGGTTTCAGAATCTGTAAAATGAACCAAGAATCTTGTGTATCAAACCTGTCACAGACATGTGAGAATAATGTGTTTATAAAGCATGGATCTTAGGGGGAAAAAAATAAAATTAATTAATTAAAAGAAAAAAGATATATCACCTTCGAAGGGATAAAAAAATAAAATCAAGGGGCGCCTGGGTGGCTCAGTTGGTGAAGCATCTGCCTTCGGCTCAGGTCATGATCCCGGGGTCCTGGGATTAAGCACCGCGTTGCCCTGTGTCAAGGGTCCCTGCTCAGCGGGGAGTCTGCTCCTCCCTCTCCTCCTCCCTCTGACTCTTCCCCGGCTTGTGCGTGCTCTCATGCTCTCGCTCTCTCTCTCAAATAAATAAACAAAATCTTTAAAAAAATTAAGGTGAAATAAACACACCTTTGGACAAACAGAACTTGGAGGGGCCTGGGCAGCCAGTCTTGCTGGGCAGACGGACACAGGGTGTGCTGCTGGTGGGAGAGAGCAGCCAGGCCCGGTGTGCAGGTGCAGGCAGGGATGCGGTTCAACAGAGAGAACATCACAAATACCTGAGCGTTCACACACCCACAAAATAAGAGCATATGAGGATCGTAGGGGTGGTTAAGGGTGCGGAGGCTCGTGCGATGTCAGGACAGCAGGCAGTCACACTAGGCTTGAAAACTCCAGGGCAGGTGGCCACGAAAAGATTAGTCTAGAAACATCGTGGCAAACACAGCATGAGGCGGAGCCCAGCGGAGCAGGCCCTGCGCGAGCCCTCTCCCTGAGCACGGGCAACACCTGTGACTTGCTTCTGGCCGATACAGCACGGCAAAGGTGATGGCGCTTCCCGTGCTGACGTTCGTTATACCCTATAGGATTCCCTCCGGCAGACTGGCCTTACAGCAGCCGGGGGCCACGCTGGGGAACCGCAGGCCATCTGTGAGGCTGAAGAGCACCTACGGCCGGCGGCCAACGAGGAGCCGGGACCCAGGCCCACGACCATGGGAGACGAACCCGCCAACAACCCGAGAGAACCTGCAGTGCATGCGTCCCACACGAGCCTCCAGATGAGACTGCGGCCCGGCCAGCGTCCAGATGGCCGCTGCAGGACCCCGAGATGGGGAGCATGCTGTCTTTGGTTGCTACGTGCAGACCCACTTGTTAGGCAGCAGCAGGAAATGCAAAGTTATGCCCGACTGCTAGTGGCAAGTGAACTCTGAAGCCGTAAGCATCGCTGGGGCTAAGGGAAAAGGCCCCAGAATAAAGGGAGCCATCCGCCGAGACAGCATGGCTCTTGCAAGGCCGTCGGCATCCGGTAACCAGACTCCAAAACACATCAGCACTATGAAGAGAAACTGACGACTCTAAACCCATAGTAGGAGAGGTAGCACATGTCTCTCAGTACTGGTCCGGACAAACAGCCCCATAAGCCGAGAATAAAGGGAGCCATCCACCGAGACAGCATGGACACAGCAGACGTCCACGACGTGCTGGCAGACCCGCCCAGCTGACGGGTTGAGAGCGCCGAACCCGGTCACCGTGACGCTCGTTCTCCCCACGCGCACACGGAAGACTTACCAAAACTGACTGTAACCTGAGCCATAAAGCACATTTAACAGACATCACAGAGTTCAAATCATACAAAAACACACTTTCTGAATATAGCTGAATTAAGCTTAAAATCAA